TCTTATTTTTAGAACTTCCATTGTGGGAAGTAATTCAATCAACCTTTGGAGTTTCTTTTTCTTTACAGCTGAAGCTTTGTACGAAGTACAAGCATTAGCAATGTTGTCATTTAAGTAAAAGGCAATGGCCAGCCAATATATGTTAAGGTTGTGGTATTTGTTAATGACGGCAAGGTGCTGGAAATTGTTTAACGTTATAGATTGTGTTATATCTTGTATGAACGGTCGTATGGGAATTGAGACACACATTCTTTTGTAGCTGATATAATGTTGTTTTAAGTATGTGAGGTTGAACAGTAGAGCAGAGGAGTCGTAACACTGTTTTGCCAATTGATCTACTTTCTCGTTGTAAAAATCGCCGGAGTGTGCTTTGATTTTATGTAGGACAATAGTGAGACATTATATGTCAATAACTTCGAAGAGGCTAAACCAAAGTGGGTAATTGGTAATTTTTAATAGAGGTCAGATGGATGGAGAAAAGCAACGGATATTTTTGAATTTGTTATATTGTTGTATGACGGCCTGTGAGTCCGTATAAATGTGGATACGGCAATATTTAGGCATCATGAGGATGGCTGTGAAAATTGCTCCCAACTCCGCCAATGATGAAGACGGGAATGTAGTGGCGAACGCTAAAGAGTAGAAAACCATTGGGAAATTCAGGTTCGTTTGTAGCTAAGCCAGTTCCATTCTGACTGTAGGAGTACCCAAACCCATGAGGGATCCATTTGTATAAAACGTTAATTCTTGAGCTAACTCAAATTGTTGTGAAAGTGTTAATAAATTATGAAAATGCGAATTAGAGATATAATTATAAATTAAAGAAGGAGGGGTCGGACGTTAATAGTTCATTAGAGGCCTATAAGATGATGAATTGTTAGCATGGGTATATATGTGACTTGCCATATCCTTTATGAACGGTAGTGACCAATAACAAATGTGGTTCTTTTTCCCGTGATTCATTGGAACATTCACACAAATCCTGATAGGAATTGCGAAAACACAGTTGTACCATTTGAGTTCCAGTGAATTCTTTTTGAACAGTGTGGGGTTGTGACGCAGACAGCCCTGGCAACGTTGTAGTGTAATCTCATTGTTGGTTATTTGATAAGTGCAGTGTATGATATCTGCGAAGCTTCCTAATGTTTTTAAAATCTGTCCAAATATTAAATTATCGATTGTTTATTGCCACAAGGTAACGTAAGAAAATTTATTGGTATTTATATTGTTGGGCAAATGAGGGAAGTTATAACTGTGTTCGTGTGCTATTGACGTGTCAGGAGGTAACTGTTGATTTTCATCTACTCTCAGTGCTTCTTTATAACTAAGTACCAGATCGGGACTCTACCTTTGTTTGGTACTGATGGAAAGAATCGTAGGTCATTCATACTGTACAAATGTTTGCAGTTCTTTATTAAGAGTTGCTCCATAAACATAATGGACATTTTTCTTAAAACGGGTGTAAGTTTCCTGTATCTATTTGGTATAATGGACTGTATTGAGGTAGAACCACCTAGTATACGCCCTCAAACGTGTTCAGGTAGAACTAAATTAATACCGAGTTTTTTCATATCACACAATAGGCCTGGAATCCAATCTTTAAAGTGTTTTGGGTTGTTGAAGGGCCAATTTCTTAATGGGGACGAGGGTAGCCATTCCTGTAATTGTATTTGTTGGAGACGTATGTGGGTGGTTTGGCCTAATAGACCACTATTGTTTACGGAGTATAGAATTGTATCGCACAGAGCTTGTGTGTGTTTATGATGTAAATAAATGATAATATAGTATAGTTTGGAGTAGAATAGACATGATGGGGTATCTCTTGGAAGGTGAAGTTTCTTCTTGAAGAAGGATCTAAAAGGTCTGATTATGCGGTCTAAAGCACTTTCAGAAAGGTGCACAAGTTGTGTATGATATTCAACATGTGGGATTATTACTACATTGTACGTATAAGTGAGCTGTTTATTCGTTAGCTTTTTATTAGCTAGTATTGCTATAGCAGATTTCACATCTTGAACGGCCTGATTGACGGTAAACATCTTAT